TTGCTGCACTTCTTGCCCTTAGATCTCTTCCATGGCTTGCCAAAGCCCTTGCCACCTGAACTACTATTCTTGTTACCCTTGTACTTGTTACGATACTTTCCTTTGTTGTTCCGCTACTTGCTCTTGCCCTTGTTGCCGTAGTAGTCCGAGGGTTTGTTTGACCACGGTGTTCGTGCTTTCTGAAGAGGGCTGCCCAAATTCGCATGAAGAGGAGAGCCGCATGTCATACACTTGTCACCTGACTTCGTTGCACCCGTCTTGCCTCTCTTGCCTTTGGGCTTGCCACGTCCTTTTTCTTTGCCTTGGCCTCGTGTTCGTATCCTTCTTCGTGGTATGTTCTATTGCCTTCCTCGTCGTGGTAGACGTCCCAGTCGGGCTCTTCGCCATACAACGATGACATGTCTTGCCAGTCGTCGCCATAGCCAAACAATGAGTAATATTCATCTGACCACCAAGACTCTGAACTGTCTTGCTGCCAGTATGCACTTTCGTCTGTCCAGCACTGCGAAACCATCGAAGGAATCGACGAGCTGGTGCCTTGAAACTCGTGATTGGCCACTGTCTGCATTCTCAAGTCTGTCCGCATCCGTTCTGAGAGAGTCCTGACACCTGCATTAACAAGAAACTCTTGCCAACATTGTTGAGCTGTAGACCTTCCCGATCTGTCACTTCCTCGAAACACAATCTGAACATCGTGAGGAAATCATTCATCGGACGATGGCCACGCTGTAACGGGAAATAACAACGATGACGCAACAATGCCCATGTCCTGATTTTGAACCTCGTCGGAACGGGTACTTGCGGTTGCCGGACCGCCAGCCTGGTGGTGTGCTCTTGTTGAACGTGTCGAGCGGGGTACCACCTGTCGCGGGCGATGTTTCTCCCCCAATCCCCGAGTTTCGCCCGAAAAGTCTGGCCGCTCAGAAGAATGGGAAAACCCTGGGATACACCCCAAGGGGGCTATTCGGACGCACCCCTATCGAGAATGGACACCCCCCCATCGTATATCCCAGGGTTAGGCCCCAAATTTCTGGTCCATTCGGAAACCCCACGAAGCCTGGGATAGGGGTCGACATATCCCCTGTTAACCTGAGCCGGCGCCTTCTGTCACCATGATGTAGGTCGGGGCTTCGGTGCTCGTAGTCTGGGCGATGCCGCTCGGCAGGCGGGATCACCTGCCGGGTGTACAGCCGGGGCCCTGAAGAAGGAACCCTTTTCGTTGGGGAGGGGCTCCGCGTTCCTTAAGTGTTTCGCAGCTTGCCTCAGGTTTCCTTTCTGTTTTCGATCGGAAATCGAAGTTTAACCCATGGAAAAAGTGGCCTCGTTCCCTATTTTGGGTTCCTTAGGTCAAGCCCCCGACTGTAACTGATGAGGATCGTGAGTGCAGTTGCCGCTACTCGGAGGTGGACAGACCTCCTGCCCTGACACGTCGATTAAGGGATTGGCCGTTTTCGGTTCGCGAGAGGGCGTCGCGGCCGTCATGTTTGCGGGTACAGGTCCGTCGGTTTCGGTCCCAGGCCGTTTTTCTTTAAGGGGAGGTTTACTACAGGGAGGTTTGTCCACCGCCGAGCTGCGCGTGCAAGGAACCAGGCGTTTACGTACTTATGCTGCTGCTGAGAATACATGTATTGTTTCCTGACGGCTCTGCTGGAACCTATGGCGAAGCTGCGGGCAAGGATACTGGCGTGTCTCAAAGGACCTGCCACCACATTAGCGCTACCAAGGTTAGTTTTCCAGTGAGGATGTCAAACCATGGCTTGTTCCATAGATGTTACAGATTATACAGTCAACGCTTGATTTTGGAACTGGTCCGAAGGCCTCTGAAACACATGAAACGCAGCTGGGAGGGAGAGGGAGATGGGGGGGTAGGGAGAGGGGGGAGAAGGGAGAAGGGAGAGGGGAGGGGCAGGAGGAGGGAGAGGAGGTCGTAAAGGGGAGAGGAGGAGGAGGGAGAGGAGGAGGAGGGAGAGGAGGAGAGGGGGGAGAAGGGAGGAGGGAGGAGGGAGAGGGGGGCGAACCTCACAGGGGAGGGCGTCAGCAAAGAGAGAGCCTGGATGACCCAGGGGAGCGGATGCTGCGGGGGGCAGCGGGGGAGGGGGCGGCGGACGGCGGGCTTCTCTGAAGTATGGCCTGTCCCTCGCACATGAGGAGTGCTCAAACATAGTCGGGGGTGGACAGACCTCCTGCCCTGACACGTCGATTAAGGGATTGGCCGTTTTCGGTTCGCGAGAGGGCGTCGCGGCCGTCATGTTTGCGGGTCCAGGTCCGTCGGTTTCGGTCCCAGGCCGCTTTTCTTTCAGGGGAGGTTTACTACAGGGAGGTTTTTACACCGCCGAAATAGTAGAAACAAGTATGGGGACGCTTACTATATATGTATATATACACATATTTCAGGAGGGGAGAAAACACAAGGGCACAATTCATCGTCCAATCCCCAGGAACTATCGGAACATATGGGAAGTGGGGGGGAAGAAAAAGACCCAGAAGTTATGGGAAAATATATATGGAATCTTGTGATGTGTGTGTATTTATTAATCGCTTCGCTCATTCCGCCGGCCCTGGAGCGCTATTTGGGGCCTCTTGGGGCCGTCTTGGGGGCCTATTCGGGGCTTCTTGGGGACGTCTCATCCTTGGCGGCGTCTTGGGCTCCCCTGGGGCCTCTTAGGGGGCTCTTGGGGGCCCCTTGCTGCGGGAGGGGGGGTAGTCGATTGCAGCCGCCCCCTCGGAGGCCACGATCCTCGTGAGGGGTGGCGAAAAATAGCCTCCCCCCTGGGTATCGCCCGGGACCCGGCCGGGGATCGACCGGGGTACTTTTCGTCCGGGGGCCCCCAGGGGCCGCCCCCCGCGCGCGCGAACTGGAACACTTTTGAAGTAGTTACCGGAGTTCTTAGCACGCCTCTGGCCCGTTGGTCTCGGCGAATTCGTGTATCAGGGCCCCCTCAATATTTCGGGCCGGGCGAAAGGGGGGGATGGGGAAAGGGGGGGTTACGAAATTTGCTGCATGCAGCTGGTTTCGGCCTCACCGAGGGGCCCACTCCTCGATACATAGCCGCCTCCGGCGCCGGGAGGCGCCAGGAAAATCAGCTACGTGAGCTGATTCTCAAACCCCCCCCTTTGCTATCCCCCCCCTTCGCCCGACCCGAATATTTCTGCTCGTCATTTTCCCTCCAGCATCCGCCCGTAGGAGGACCTGCCCGGCCCACGGCCACCACCTGCGAGGCCTGCTGGGGCGACTCCCCACGACCCCAGACGCCCTTCTCCCGCGGCGCGGCGAGCCGGCCAGTCTCGCGGCGGCCCCCCCCTCCCGCTTTGAGCTTTTTTTGTTTTTTTTGATTCAGGCAAGTTTACTTGCATGGCGTTCCCCCCCCCCCCCCCCCCCCCTCGCCCCTCTTCAAGCGAATACTAGCGTGCAAGTGCCTTTCGACTTGCGTGATTTCCGCGCCCCCCCCCCCGGGGTTGCTTCAGGCTCAGCCCCCCCCCCCCCCGTCCATGCAAGTAAACTTGCCATGCAAGTAAACTTGCCAGAGTCTAAAAAAAAACAGGCTCTTTTCTGGACGCCCGAAATGGGTAATTACGGAAAGAATGGGTGCAATGCCCAACAGCAGTTCCTGTTCGTTTTGAACCGGACTCGCTGTCGGTGTCGCCGCGGCCTGTCTCCATTCGAAGCAGGAGGCCGCCGGCCCAACAGCGGCCGCTGTAGGTTTGGGACAACCTTTGTTGTTGGGCATTGTACCCATTCTGTCGGTACCCATTTCGGGTGTCCAAAGCTTTTTCGGATGCCACTCCTGGGAGGCCAAGTTCTGATTTTGCCCTGGCCCGAAATCCGGCTGAGTCCAGCTCAGTCCCGCTTGATCTGGTTGGACCCCACTCGACCCTGCTTAATATCTGGCCTGATCCCGCGTCAATCCGCGAGGCCCTCTCCGGCGCAACAGCCCCCCGATGTAGCTCTTTCCTCCTGGATCTTTCCGACGAAGATCTCCCAGTAGTCGGGGGTGGACAGAACCCCCAACAGTGACACGTCGATTAGTGAATTGTCCGTTTTCGGTTCTCAAGAGGGCTCCGTGGCCGTCATTTTCCAGGCTTGCGCCCGCCAGGATGGGGTCTTCGTCCAACGACGCCGATCTAATATTAAGGCGGGCCTGTCCCCCTACAGGAGGATTTCCGACGAAAAATGATAGATACCCCAAGCATCGACCAAACAGAGTCCAAACACAGTCTGAGGACTCTTTGTTTTGAGTATTGTCCGATTTTGGTTGGTGTATGGTTAGGGTTTGTTTTGTATTTGTCGAGGGAAATCCCCCTGTGAGGGGGACACGCCCGACATAGATCTATCGGGGGAGCGTAAGACCCGGGTTTGCCAGGACTCGGGTTCGCCATCGTTTTTTGACGACCTCGCCTCGGATTTTGACGAGGAGGAGTTTCGTGGGATGTCTGCAGCGGGAGGCCTCGTCAAAATGCAGGCTCGGCCTCGTCATTTTTTTGACAACCCCGTCGGGGATTTCCGAGTCCCCTGTACCCAGGTCTCACGTCCCCCTGATAATATCTGAGCATGCGGGCGATGTCGACCTGACTGCCTACCGTCGGGTGCCCTCCGCTGCTGCATGCGTCGCCCACCCACGGGCCTGCTGCGCTGTGGTTGCAAGAGCCATGGAGCACTGTGCCCGTCCGCCGCGTGCGCATCGCCGGCGTTCGGCCCACCGCCAGCGCTCACACAGCAGGGCGTCGAGGCCGGGGAGGGAGAATGCGAGGGCGGGAGGAGGAGGAGGAGGAGGAAGATGAAGAAGATAAGAGACGGAGCGGGAGAAGGAGGAGGAGGAGGAGGAGGAGGAGGAAGAGAAGGAGGAGGGGGAGGAGGAGGAGGAGACGGAGTTGGTCAGGAATTGGTCGACGGCCACGGCGGGGAGGAGGAGGAGAAGGAGGAGGAGAGGAGGAGGAGGAGAGCGACGACGACGTCGTCGAGAGGATGGTCGGCACGCGCCTGGCCCTTGCGGCGGCCGCAGGAAGAAGCCGACCCGCAACGCCGCCTTCGAGGCCCCGCCGAGTTTCTCGTCCGCCTCCTCCTCCTCCTCCTCCTCCCCGCTCCTCCTCCTCCTCTTCCTCCTCCTCCTCTGCTGCTGCTGTTGCTGCTGCTGCTTCTCGCCCCCCTCCGATGCCACAGACGCCGATCCTGCCCCGGCGATGTCTTGTCGCCGTCCACGTGCCGAAACCGCGTGGGGCAGAAGGGCTCCCGTGCTTCCCCGCTTGGCCCTGGTGGACCATCCCAGGCGGGCTCGGATATCTCCCGGAGGAGGTGCCGGGCCCTGTCGTCCCCGCCGGGGCCCCTCCGGGCGTGCGGAAACGCAGATGCGTTTCTCCAGGTGGCCCTGGCGCCCCGCGGCGGCCCCCCGACGCTCCCAGGGCGTCCCGCCGGGGGGGCCCCGGCATGCCCCGAGGCGGGCTCGGGGCCCAGCGGCGGCCTGCCGAGGGGCCGGAAACAGATGGGGAGATGAGGTTGCGTTTTCCCCGCTTGGCCCGGCGCTCCGTCCTAGCCCCCCTTGGCATCCGCTGGTCGTCCGGAGTTTGGCGCCGTTCTGGAGTCCCTGGGGCCCTCTGGGCCTATCTGAGGGGTGGCCTGGAAGCCGCGTGGACCTCCCTGGAAAAGCTGGGGCTGCTTTGGGCCGAGGGCCACTGGCGGCAACTTTGTGTGGCCCGCTCAGACGTGTGAGCCCGTGCCGCCTCTGCTTCGCCGTGTCCTACTGCCTTCGAGGGCCCTGGTGCTTCTGCAGCGCGAGCTCAACCGACAGTGCACGAGGCCATTCCCAGTGATGCAAAATCGAGAGGACACGCATGAGGAACGCGGACCAGGTTTGGGGAGCACACGTAAATCCTTGTGGGACGGCCGATTGCAGGGGACGGGTCGGGACCGTACGTAAGCTGAATAGAAGTCGGTCCTGACCAGACGTCACCGAACAGGTGGCCGGCTGATCGGGAGAGCCTGAGAAGGTATGGCCAGTTGTGAGAGAGCTCGTATCGCGAACGATTGCTTGGACAAAAGTGACTACCCACCTCTCCCGGGAGCTCGAGAGGGAGGTAGAACACACCCATCCCCACAGGTTCGCATCCGACGGTCGTGATTCCCGCGGGCGTTGAGGACGCCGCCATGATCCGCGTCTTCTTCAGATGCGCGGGAGTTCCTGTGCCCGCCGACGATGAGGGTATGCGCGGGGCAGACAAGAGGATTGCTGCAGGCATGGGGAAGTTCAGCAAGATGGCGCGCATCGCGCCGACGTCGCAAGCGCAAGCTCTCGCACGATGCCTCATTCGTCTCAATGCCGATGCGGGCTCGCACGATTTACGCATTCAATCGCTTGCCCATGAAGCAGTCGAAAAGCATCTTCCAGCTTGCCAAGGACATGTTCCCGGCACCCAAAACGCCATAGCACGGCCGAGGGGCTGCCCTGAGCGCAGCGCGACGTGGCAGCCCGCCACCATGTATTCTGGTCGCCCGCAGTCGCTACAGATGCTGGCGGTGCGTCAGAAGGAGCGGCAGTGTTAGATCCAGCGGAGGTGTCCATCGCAGCAGCGCCCGATGCGCAGAATGTGGCGCTGGTCCTTCTGCGCCCCCTGGCCACTAGGATTCCTGGGTGATTGGCTAGAGGCATCGCGGCGCGCTCCATGCGCCTGAACGTCCGGGAGAAGCCGTGACCTCGCAACTTGGAGCTGTGGCAGGCACTTGCTACTCACAGAGCTGCGACGCCGTCTCTGGGCTTGAACAGGGTCGTCGGTGGCGAATTAAGTTTGGAGCCAGGCGATCTCGGAGATGCGGACTGGCCCCGTGCCATCCAGGGCCAACGTGGCACTCGCAATGTTTTCTTCCTCGAAGGTGCGGATCTACTGCGTCGTGCCCGACGGTCGACGGCCAATGTCGTCGCGGGCGCCCATCCGCATCTCCCGGCGGCGTTGGATCTCCAGTCTCAGGAACGGGGCCCACTTTTGCGCAGTACTGTTGCAGCGAAGCCGCCGATGTCAAACCGGGATGCGGCATGTGTCTTTGCGTCTGGAGCACGGCGAGAGATCGGGCATTCAATTCGCGGGCGCCGTCGACATGGATTTCAATTACATCGGTCGAGATGGCAGGTTGCCGCGACATCGCGGCCGAACGAGCGCGCCCGCATCTCGCGCTCGCGGGGGGGGGGGGGTCCGCGCCGAGCTCGCCCTGAGCCTGCCAATGGCCGAGTCCCGTCGCAGCTGCAATGCGGGGCCCCGCGCATGGGCGGCGGCCGACCGCCGGGCGGAGCGCGCTCGTTGGACGACCGCCCCGTTCGCGGCGCCGTCGGCGTGGATCCGTCAGCGCCCAAATGCTGCTTGAAAATGCATGGGTCGGGGTCGCTTGTCGTTCGATCACCCTCGAAGGCAGGCAGGAAGGAGGCCCGCAAGCAGGTTGACCTGACGCGACTGCGGCGTCTACAGTTCGATCGTCGTGCTCTTTTATATCGAACGACGTTTTTTCCCTGCGAGCGGTCAATTCGCACGCGCGTTCACCCCGCGCGCGAGCGGCGCTCGGGGCGCGCCCTGAGAGAGCAGCCGCTCGCAGCGAGCGGATCGAGAGCGAGTGTCGTGACGGCGGCCGGCCAGCGAGCGCTCCGCATGGGGAGGCGCGAGCTCATCGCCAGTTTTCTTGCCTGCGTGAGCCTCGCGCAGTTTTGGGCAGTTTCCGCGCCGACACCGTTTCAACGACGTGCGCTCCGCAAGTTGTTGTCAGAAGCTCTGCCGTGCCCGTGGCAGTGTCATAGCTGCTGAGCTGAGCGCCGCACTCTCAGTCATCGCGGCAATGCGCGCGTCTCAATAAAGCAGCTGCGCGAGTTCACGCCAGTGCCCATTCCCGACTGCATGATGGATCAAAGGAAGAAACAGCTAAATGCGGTAACCGACGTCACGGGCGCCGGGACCTTCGAGGTGATCTACTTCTTGCCGGCCGAGCCGCGGCGCCCACCCCCGCCCTGAGACGACGCGCACGCGCTCGAGCGGGGAGATGCTGATGTTCCGCAGGGCCCCGCGGCGCACCCGCGCGGTTCAGGCTCGCTCCATTATCATCCTACTCTCGCGCGCGCTGGCCGTGCAGCGGCGCAGATCGACCCATGTTCGGGCCGGCCTGTTCGTGCGATCTGCGGCCGACGATCGGGGCTCTGCCAGTTGGTGCCCCTTGCTGAGCGATGCGTTGGCTTGAAAGTTCTGGGCGTCGCGAGCAGCGCAGACTTCGTTGTCCCCGCGCGTGTTTCTCTGTTCGTGGAGGAGGAGCGCAGGGCAGCAGATTGGCCAGAGCGAGTAATCGACATGCAGGCACGTGGAATCAGATGCCCACCTGGTGGGCGGGCGAAGCGGGGAGGGCAAATGGGGCGCGGGGAGGGCAAATGGGGTCAAGGTCGCCGGCGCGGCGGCCGCTTTCCACGCCGGCATGCTGAAGGAGGCGGTCGACGAGGCGAAGTTCGTGAGTTCCCCTGCCTCGGGGGCCGCTCGCCCGCCCGAAACTGCGGGCGAAGCGGCCCGCCCTGATCCGCAGATGAGATGGCCCACCTATCTGTTCCCCCGCGCAGCGCATGATTCTACTCAGCTGATGATCGCGCTATGCGGTTTCGCAAAGCCTTGCTTCCATCCAAGCGACGTGGGCCCCCCGTCGTGGGCGCCGGGCATCGCGCGGCGCATTGGAGCTACCTGGGGCTACGCGAGCTGCGTGGGCACTACTCCGCGCGCGTCAGCAAGTACGTCAAGAAGCCGAGCGACCCCCGCCCTGGCCCCCCCGGCGCTCGATCCACGCGCGCAAATGTTTTCTCGAATGCTAGCTCGATCGAGGGATTGAGCGGGAGAGTGGCCGCCCGGTCCCCCCGCCATCAGTTGTCCTGGAGTTCCCGCCCCCGTCTTTCGATGTCGGGCGCCAGGCTGGCGCCTTCCGGCCCCCTGTCACCTGGGCGGGGTCTTGATGCGGCCTGGGCTGCGCTCGCGCGTGTTTCAGGCGGCCCCCTGGCTGACTTCCTCTTAGCGCTTCCGGCGCTCTGCGAACCAAGCCCCCTCGCTTTTCGCCAGGGCTCTGCCGGGGCAGCTGGACTTGGGGCCGCGGAGCGCGGCGAGGGGGCGCGAGGTCATTCGCGCTCCGCGCAGCGCGAAGTGCGAAGTTCGGCGCCCTTGGGGAGCGGCCCATGGCGCGGGGAACGTGTCCGTTGGCATCGCGGGAGCCGGAATGGGCACGAAATTACAGGGGGCGACGACCGCGGGTCTCGCAGTCGGCTGCAAGACCAACGCGGTCCGTCCAGTGGCCAGCGGCGTCGGCCCAACATGAATCGCCGTTCGTTTGGGGCAGCGGCGGTTCTGAAGTGTCGTCCGCATGGATCGGTGCTGTCCACACTTTGGGGCGCGTCAGTCTGCGAGACGAGCGCCAAACTTGCGTCAGTCTTACACAGGAGCCCGCCACAGGCGCAGTTTTTTCCCAACCCTCCTACGTTGGGTTCTCGTTTTGAATAGAGCACTGCTCGCGCGTCTCCTTCCTTCCCGCCCCCCCCGCCCCTCTCTCCCCCCCTGCCTTTGACCGTGCCATCCCTGGGGGCTGCGATCTGTGAAACTGTCGCCACTTTCGAGGCTTGCTTGCGGGGCCCAGCGTGGGTACCCACGGCGGATTCAAATGGAACCTCGCCATCCCTGGGGGGCTGCGATCTGTGAAACAGTCGCCACTTTCGAGGCCTGCTGGGGGGCCCAGCACAGTGGGTACACACGGCGGATTGAAATGGGACCTCGCCATCCTTGGGGGGCTGCGATCTGTGAAACTGTCGCCACTTTCGAGGCCCGCTGGGGGGCCCAGCACAGTGGGTACACACGGCAGATTGAAATTTGACCTCGCCATTCTTGGGGGGCTGCGATCTGCGAAACTGTCGCCACTTTCGAGGCCTGCTGGGGGGCCCAGCACAGTGGGTACGCACGGCGGATTGAAATTGTACCTCGCCGTCCCTAGGGGGCTGCGATCTGTGGAACTGTCGCTGCTTTCAAGGCCTGCTGGGAGGCCCAGCACAGTGGGTACACACGGCGGATTCAAATTAGACTTGGCCATCCTTGGGGGGCTGCGATCTGTGAAACTGTCGCCACTTTCGAGGCCTGCTTGGGGGGCCCAGCGCAGCGGGTACCCACGGCGGAGTCAAATGGGACCTCGCCATCCCTGGGGGGCTGCGATCTGTGAAACTGTCGCCACTTTCGACGGCTGCTCAGGGGCCCAGTACAGTGGGTACCCACTGCATATTCAAATTAAACCTCGCCATCGGGGGCTGCGATCTGTGAAATTGTCGCCACTTTCGAGGGCTGTTGGGGGGCCCAGCACAGTGGGTACCCACGGCGGACTCGAATGGGACCTCGCCATCCCTGGGGGGCTGGGATCTGTGAAACTGTCGCCACTTTCGAGGCCTGCTGGGGGGGCCAGCACAGTGGGTACCCACGGCGGACTCGAATGGGACCTCGCCATCCCTGGGGGGCTGCGATTTGTGAAACTGTCGCCACTTTCGAGGCCTGCTGGGGGGGCCAGCGCAGTGGGTACCCACGGCACACTCAAATGTGACCTCGCCATCCCTGGGGGGCTGCGATTTGTGAAACTGTCGCCGCTTTCAAAGCCTGCTGGGGGGCCTGGGGGGCTGCGATTTGTGAAACTGTCGCCACTTTCGAGGCCTGCTGGGGGGCCCAGCACAGTGGGTACACACGGCAGATTGAAATTAGACCTCGCCATCCCTGGGGAGCTGCGATTTGTGAAACTGTCGCCACTTTCGAGGCCTGCTGAAAAAAAGGGGCCCAACACAGTGGGTACCCACCGCAGATTCAAACTAGACCTCGCCATCCCTGGGGGGCTGCGATCTGTGAAACGGTCGCCACTTTCGAGGCCTGCTGGGGGGCCCAGCGCAGTGGGTACCCACCGTTGATTCAAATTAACCTCGCCATCCCTGGGGGGCTGAGATTTGTGAAACTGTCGCCACTTTCGACGGCTGCTCAGGGGCCCAGTACAGTGGGTACCCACTGCATATTCAAGTTAGTTTTCGCCTTCCGTGGGGGGCTGCGATCTGTGAAACTGTCGCCACTTTCGAGGCCTGCTGGGGGGGCCAGCACAGTGGGTACCCACCGCAGATTCAAATTAGACCTCGCCATCCCTGGGGGGCTGCGATCTGTGAAACGGTCGCCACTTTCGAGGCCTGCTGGGGGGCCCAGCACAGTGGGCACCCACGGCGGATTCAAATGGGACCTCGCCATCCCTGGGGGGCTGCGATCTGTGAAACTGTCGCCGCTTTCAAGGCCTGCTGAAAAGAAGGAGCCCAACACAGTGGGCACCCACCGCAGATTCAAATTAGACCTCGCCATCCCTGGGGGGCTGCGATCTGTGAAACCGTCGCCACTTTCAAGGCCTGCTTGCGGGGCCCATCACAGTGGGTACCCACCGCATATTCAAATTAGACCTCGCCATCCCTGGGGGGCTGCGATCTGTGAAACTGTCGCCAATTTCGAGGCTTGCTTGCGGGGCCCAGCACAGTGGGTACCCACACGCAGATTCAAACTAGACCTCGCCATCCCTGGGGGGCTGCGATCTGTGAAACTGTCGCCATTTTCGAGGCTTGCTTGCGGGGCCCAGCACAGTGGGTACCCACACGCAGATTCAAATTAGACCTCGCCATCCCTGGGGGGCTGCGATCTGTGAAACTGTCGCCACTTTTTCGTGGCCTGCTGGGGGGCCCAGCACAGTCACGCCACACGCAGATTCAAATTAGACCTCGCCATCCCTGGGGGGCTGCGATCTGTGAAACTGTCGCCACTTTCGAGGCCTGCTTGCGGGGCCCAGCACAGCGACGCCTCCCAAGTAGCGTACACATCAAGTTGATTGTCCATAGAAGTTTCGGCCAGCTCCTCGTTTCCATTGATACAAATGGGTTGGGTACGTCACAGGGTAATTTCCTTCAAACCAATGTGGATCGGTCGCGGGTGGATCGGGGGGTGCGCCGCGGGCGGGTCGCAAGTAAGTCTCGGGTGGATCGCGGGTGGGTCGCGGGGTGGGTCGCGGGGTCGGTCGCGGGTAGGTTTCGGGGTGGGTCGCGGGTGGGTCGCGGGTGGGTCGGGGGTGGGTCGCGGGGTGGGTCGCAGGGTGGGTCGCGGGGTGGGTCGCGGGTGGGTCGCGGGGTGGATCGCGGGGAGGGTCGTTGGGTGGGTCCCGGGGTGGGTCGCGGGGTGGGCGCAGGTGGGTCGCAGGGGGGGCGACGACAATAAACAACAACAAAAACAACAACAACGACGACAACAACAACAACTACAATTACAACTACAACTACAACAACAACAACAACTACAACGCAACAGTCATACCCCTCACCACGGATTCCTTCTTCAGCCAGCCACGCCACCATGGACAATGAATGACCGTTCGGCCCCATCACCGTGATTTTTGGGGATGTTTTCCCATTGTTTGGGGTATTTTCATTTTTCGCCCAACTTAACGGTAGTTCGAGGTTGCGTGCAATTTTTGGGTGCGCCTTGGGTTCCTGCAAACTCGTTCGGGAAGCTTGGGGCACTCTAATTCACCGCGGGTCTCGACGCACCGCGGCTCCGTAATCACAGTGCCGATCAGCGCTTCGCTGGAGGCGCCACGAACCGACATGCACGCTAACAGCTCGTGCAAGGTATTCACAAGGTCCCTACCCCGTCCTTTTCCCTCCCCTCCGTTTCCTTCCCCACTTCCTCCACGCGCTCGAGGTTCATTCCGATTCTCCTCCCTTCTGTGGCACGCTTCTGGGAAGGAGGGACGGAACAGGGGAGGATGTGGCAGCAGGGGGGAGGAACAGGGGGGAAGGGCGTACTCCCAAGGCGCAGCCCCCAGTTTCCCCCCTTTTTTCTCCACGTCGTGCGTTTCGTACCGCGTGATGCAGGCATGGGGGTGGGATCGCGGGTTGTAGGAAAGGGACTTCTGAAAAGGCAGCAAAGGATGGTTTGTGGGGCCCGCGGGTGCAAGAAAGATGCCTTTTCCATTACCTTCTTGAGATGTAGAATTCTGAATCGGTGGTGGTTCATCCCTGGTCGAAAACTTGCCCAATCTGGTTACATCCCGCTCAATCTGACTTAATCCCAGGCTAAACCGTCCTGATCGCCAATCGGGCTCAGGAGACCTCGATCGTTTGGCGCGGCTGGCTATAGCTTCTCCTTTTGTTGCTGGGTGAGCAGTGGAGCAGAAGGAGGAAAAGGGAGGGGGAGGTTGGGATCGAGGTAAGGAGGAGGAGGAGGAGGAGGAGGAGGCTCAGAAATGAGCTAGAGTCAGTCTTTCTTTCCCGTAGCGATAAGGGGCGTGAGTCAGGGGGGAGGGGGGAGGGGGCCGGTCGCGTTAAGATTCGCGCCGTCGCCGTCTGGGAATGTTCAAGGATGGCTACTGCTCAGGCGGCATTGTCGCGAATCGTGGCGTGTCCGGGGGGGCGGGTGGAGAGGTGTGTGTGGCAGGGCCGGTAACGGGCGTTACCGCGAATGATTTTCGTCCTCCTCCTCCTCTTCCTTGTCCTCCCTCCTCCTCCTTCCGTAGCCATTTTGGCTCAAGTTCGAAACGTGCGTCCTTAGCGCTTCGAACTTGGACGCTGCCTAGGGGTGTCCCGAGCATCCCAACCGAGGTTCGGCCTCGCACCCCAGTAGCCCCAAAACATGTTTTTTTTCGGCACTGCTCGATTCCAGTTTCGTTTTCTCATCACGACCCGCACCACCCCAATCCGTCCGATGCCACCCGCGAATAAGTCCCGTGGCGAAGGTGACGCTGACAAGCTGATGGGAGGCATGGCATCGGTCGTGTCAGAGACCGATCAGAGCAACACGAAAGCTTCGGGCGTTGAGGACAACGTCAAGTCCTCGGCCGAGATGAAAACGATCATCTCCCCGCATGTCGCGCGTATGGACCACACTGAGGCTTGCATACACGAACACAATGAGAAGCTCCAGGCCGACCTGAAGAAACTCGTCGAAACCGCGCTTGAGACCAAGTGGGAATCCTCGACTACGGCATCCAGCGGTCCTTCACCTACCGTGCGGAGCTCCGTGTCCCGACGTGGGATGCTTGGTGACTCGCCCACCGACGCGTCTAAGTTTTGGATAGGAGGTTCCACGCGGCCCATGTTCAGCACCGCCATGGTCGAACACGCCAAGAAGGTGCCCGTTTCGATTCCTGCGTAGATGGCCCAGGATGCATCTTACAAGTGCCACGACCTGAACCAGAGCTACTTCATCAAGTTCGGGACCGAGGCGAAAGCGAAGACCTTCCTCGACTGCGCGCGGAGCGAGGGCCTGAGCCACGAGGACCCCGTGCATTAGAAACGCATCCCGCTGCGACGCCGCTTCGACGCGCCGCTCACGGTGCGCTCCAAGAACAAGATCCTCGGAGGCATGTGGCAGCAAGTCCTCGCTCACCTCTGGAACCTGATGCTCTGGGACCCGACAAAGCTTGCGATCGGTTTCAACGGCTACAAGGGCTGCCTCTGTATCGTCGACCGAGAAACGCAGGATATCGCGGTCTTGTTCCGCATCGATCAGCTCATAATGGGGTTTTCGACGTCGACCCCGGCTCCGGCGGCATCTTTCGTTTTAGGATCAAGCACGTGGAGGCGACCAAGATGATCGGCGCAGCCCAGAGGCTGGTCGCGGCCGCGTCTTGCCCTGCGCGTGCGCACTGACCCCCGCTAGGGGCTGGTTGCGTGCTGCGTGCTATGGTGAATTCAGTTCGGCTTAGATGCGGCCACCGCCTCGGAACTTGGAACCGCATGAAACGCCAACCGAGCTCCTCGAGCGCGGCGGAGCTATCTCGCGCATGCGTTCGCGCACTGTCTCTTCCATTTCGTCTTCCACCTCATCTACTGGCTCCACGTTGTCCACTCGTTTCTCTTCGTCTTCTTCTGCCAGCTTTTCGGTTGGTGCTTCCTGCTCCTCGGGCGGAGCTTTCGTGCCAACTGTGCCGCCCCATCGTTCTCTGCAGGTGGCGCATTGGGTTCGGCGCAATCTTATCATGACGACTTGGAATTGGCGCACCCGTTTTGCATCTGTCCACTTTTTTTCCCAGATGGTCCAGCGAGCGTTTCAGATTATAGCCAAGGTATCCCCAAGCATGACATCATATTTGTTCAGGAGACGCACGGGCAGGAGAGAGACTTATTGCACCTGTGCGAGGAAGCGTTCGACCTTCGAGCGCGGGGCTCCTTCTTTCCCTCGGGCATATCGGGCGGCGTCGTCAATATGATTCTTCCTGAACTTGCGCAGGACATTCCCGGAGCTCACTCCAACGAGATCATTCCTGGGCGCCCTCTGGAGGTAGTGTTGTCTGGACCCAAAGACGCCCCCCCCCCCCCCCCCTCAGGTCCTCGACCTCCATCTCGATCCCGCTCTGTCTATAGAAGCCGAGAAGTCTGTGTCCAGGAAGGTGCACTGCCTGTTCAAGCCCACCGCGGAGGCCACCGTTTTTGCTCTGCGATTTCAACTTCCTCGTGGGCGGCGAGCCCCGACGGCTCTGCGATGGCCCCCAGCGCATTCCCCGCCATAGGTGGAGAGGGTTTTATCAGCGACGCATTTCGGAATCTCGTGGAGGTCGTCGCCCGGCCGACGCCGACCCACCGCGCCGCCATGGGCGAGGGTGGGAAGGTGCAGTCTGTTAGGCGTTTAGATCGGATGTACACGATCATGTTCTCGGGCCCCCTCCCGGACCTGGACCTGAAGCCTATCTCCTTGGTTTTGCACGATGTCCTGGACCTGGAGTTCCACTTGGATCACGCCCCGTTGGCCCTGGCCCTTATTCGTTTCAAGAAGCCCGATGCTGCGTTCAGGGTTCAGCCCTGAGTTCCGCGGCGCCCCGAGTTCCCCGAAAATGGCCGCGCGAATATGTTTAAAGTTGGTGGTCTCTCAACCCAAGCCCAGATGCTGTGCTCGCTGGATGCGCAGGCCTTCCGCGCAGCCGCTGCGCGCCGGCTCGGCCGCCTCGTGCGCCGACTGGCGTCCGCGGCGGCAGAGTTGCCATCGTGGATTTTGTCCGCAATGCGAGCGCTCGCAGCTGCCAGCGCTCGCCTGCCTCGTCGCGCGCTGAATGCGCGCCCCAAGCTGCGCGAGTGCATCGATGAGTCGTTTGGGACCTGAACCTTTGAGCTCGCTGCCCATGGGCGCTCGAATTCGCTTTCGAGCCATTGCACTCGCCGTCAGCTCGACGATCTCGAACGCTCCGACTTCTCCTGTCCCACGCGCAGCGGGAACTCAAGCTCGGATGATTTCTTGCTCGACAGCTTGGGCTTCGACGAGGCGCTTTGTTGTCCTGCAAGGCGCAGTCGACCCGGCTGGCCAGAAGGTCTGGGGCCCTGATGAGGTGGCGCAATGTTTAGCCGCGCAATTGGGGGCCATCCATAGCGGGGGCCACCGATGTCCGAGGGCGCGTTAGATAATCGCGCCCTTCTTCCAAACTCGCCCACCCCGCGTGTCGTGGAAAATCGAGTTCGACGGCTTTTCTGATGTGGTTTGGAAGCGTCGAGACAGCCCTGTGGCCCCGATGCCATCGCTTTTTCGTTGCTGGCCCGTGCCGGGCGCTGGGCGTTAGAGGTTCTGTTCTGTTCGCCATCTACGGGGGCATCTCAGCAGTGACTACCCCGTTGACACAGAACTTCGCCACGTGCGTTTTCCTCGCGAAGGGCTCTTCGGACGTGGATAGTGCTGCAGGAGCGTTCAGGGCGCCGTCGGCTATTCCACCGATTGTATTATCGAGCGCCGATACCGAGGTCGTCAGTCTCGCCATGAACGACTCGCTCGCCCGGCTTGCCCAAAAAACAGTCGTCGACGTTAAGAGGGGGGGGTGTCCGAAGTCTTTCGGCGCCCAACAACGTAGTCGAGTTCGGGGCGCGCGTGCTTCCCTGGCTTGCCCAGCTCGGCTCGTGACGCGCTGGTTTTTGCCGCTTCGACGCGCGCGCTGCCCTCCCGAGCCTCCTGCGCCAATGAATTTGGTTTGTGTTCATGGCCATGGGTATTCCAGACTTTTTCTCTGGAGCTTTTCAGTGTCTGCGTTGGAACATCCGGGTCGCTATCAACTTCGCGGGGCCCAGGAAGGATGGTTTTTGGCTCTCCAGGGGGACCAAGCAGGGGCGCCTAAAATCAGGTAGCGCGCGCGCGCTGGGGATTGATCCCACCCTTCGGCATTTTCGCTCGCGGCCCCCTCGGCACGCAGCGGTTCTCACGGCCTTCGCCGGCGACGTCGGCATAGGCGTGCATGACCAGTGCCAGACGTTGGCGTCGATCCTGCCTGCCTGGGACGTGGCCGCGCGCGCGGCTGGGTTAGTGGCGGTTGGTGCTTCATCTGGACACAACCGTGGCGTGTCTGTTGAGTGCCCCTACCCGCGCCGACTTCCCACTGAGCTGAGTATGTTTGGCATTGCTTGCTCGCTCCCTCTCTTTTTTCAAACGAAGGTCGAGTACGTCAAGTATATGGGACTTGCATTGGGGCATGGCGTGGGCGAAGCTGCCGGCGCGCGGTGTCTCTCGGAAGTGCCCTGGGGGCCCCCCGTCCTTGGGCCTCTTGATCTCGGGCTGGCCCACGCGCTCGCACGATGCGGTGCCTATTGTTTCAGTGCGGCGGGCCACGTCGTTCAATGCCACTCTTAAGTCGGGCCTGTCCCCCTACGGGGATATTCGACGAATAATGAAAGCTACCCCCAACGTAGTCCAACAATTGTTTGGGGATTATTTTTGGTGTGTAACATTGACTTTTTTGGTGCATTGTTGGTGCATTTTGCATTTGTCGTCGAAAATCTCCCTGTAGGGCGACACGCCCGACATTATTCTACTCGCCCGCTGGAGAAGCTTGCCGCCTGAATAGCGAAGCCTTCCAGTCATTGGTCACCGCTCCCCGCGATGCTCTCTCTAGTCCTCTGTTGAAGTCTGCCGAGGAGTTCGGCCCCCCCGTGCAGGCAAGGTCGTTGGCGCGCCTGGCGCGGGGAGCTCAGTGCAGGCGCGCGTTCGATGCGAGAGCCCTCTTCGAGATGGACCATCTCTTCGACGCAGCCGAGGCGTCCGACGACGCGCTAGTCCTCCTGGGTGAGACGGTGGCGCAACGGCGCCGTGGTCCAGACGTGTCGATCTTCCCGAGCCCTGAATGCCCTCCCCAGCCTCCCCGTTGATAAGCCCCCCCTCCAAAAACTTGTTTTGGTCGCGGCCGCGAGACAAAGGTCAGGCGGCAAGAAGCAAAGTCCGGGGCACGAACGAGGCGAATGAGCTTCAACAGGCACAGGCCGGCCGGCCCGCTCACAAAGCAGCCCCCCTCCAAACGCGCGTAGACAAGTATTTCCAGGACAATTGTAATATTTCAGCTCGTTGTGAACTAGCCAGGCGCCTCAAGCATTTTCATCATGCGCTCTCGGAGGCGCAGTTCGATGTGACGGTTCGCGCGTGGTCGGTGTGAGCAAGTTTGTTCCGAGTTTCTTCCTAGTTGCCGTCCAGGAAGGGGATTGCGAACAGTTGGTGCACCACCCGCCGTTTTCGGTAACCCACGAAACGGTTCCGCTGGTGCCACTTTGCCGCTGCACGAGATGCTATTTTCCACCATCCTGCCTGCCCTTGTTCAGACTTAATATTGGCTCGCTTCCCCTCCGGACGAGACGCCCACATGCGAACGTCGCCACTGGGGCCGTAAGTGAAACTCCCTATGGTGCCACGGAAACATGTGAGGGGCGTGCCGAAACGGGCGCGACGCCCGCAAGCGAACGTTGCCACTGGGGCCTTAGGTGGAGCTCCCTATATGGTGCCACGAAACGCGTGAGGGGTGTGTCACCACCCACCAAACCACCCCAACCCAACCCGAAGGTTCAGATTTACCCCCGATTTCTAGTGGGGGGGGGTCCGGGAACATTGGAAAACAAACACATGTGGAGCCCATACCCGCCCCAACCCGACATTCGGGCCTTCGGGTTGGGCTGGGGTGATCTGGTAGGTAGTCAGTGTGCGAAAACGGGCGCGACACCCACATGCGAACTGCGCCATGGAGGTTCTCGGTGGACGAGGAAGAGGAGGAGAAGGAGGAGGAGGAAGAGGAGGGGGAAGAGGAGGAGGAGGAGGAGGAGGAGGAGGAGGAGGAGGAGGAGGAGGAGGAGGAGGAGGAGGAGGAGGAGGAGAGAGGAGGAGGAGGAGGAGGAGGAGGAGGAGGAGGAGGAGGGAGGGGGGAGGAGAGGAGGAGGAGGAGGAGAGGAGGAGGAGGAGGAGGAGGAGGAGGAGGAGGAGGGGGGAGGTGGAGGAGGAGGCGGAGGAGGAGGAGGACCTCCGCCTCGGCTGTCGGCGGCACCGGGTCCTCCGGTCTCGGCCGGCGTTCTGCCGAGGGGCTCGTGCCCACAGCCTGCGTGCACGGTGCCACGTCTTCCAGGAGGAGAAAAACACACACACAGACACAATGAATCCTCGATGCTCCCAAAAATATGGAAAAATAGGGGAAGTGGGGGGGTGAAGACAGAAATCCAGAACATATGGGAAAATATGGGGAATCTGGTTATTTCGTAATAAATGAGAGGGGGTCTGGACCCTCCAAGACAAGCCATTTCAGACCTCCCCCGTGGGAGAACCCTCCAAAACGTCGTCCCCAGACCCCCCCAGGCCCTCCAAGATAGCCTGGAAGAGACCCCCCCCCCCGAAGTGAGACCCCCCTCCATTTTATTACGAAATCTGGAGTACCATGTCTTCGGCTTACCACACGCGTAAAAAGCGTTCGACAGGGGGGGGGGGGGGGCGTGTTCGGACGCCTCGCACGAGCCCGTCTCAGGCAGACGGCCAGGAGCTCACCGGCGGCAAGCGCCATCCTCACGTGGCGTCTGGATAAACTGTTGCTCTCTTCTCGCATGTTTCTTGGCCACCTGCCCCCTCCTCGTTTCTTCATGGGAGTGCCCCTCCTCCTCCTCCTCCTCTTCCTCCTCCTCCTCCTCCTCCTCCTCCTCCTCCTCCTCCTCCTCCTCCTGTTCCTCCTCTTCCTCTTTCCTCCTTCCTCCTCCTGTTTCCTATCCTACTAATATCAACGTTATCCTATCGATGTGTCGGCGTTGGGTGTCTTGGCTAACCTTGGGGCTTCGTCTGATGCACGCCTGCGCTGCCCGCGCAGACTGCTCTTCTGTGTGAGGGCCGTCAACTGATTATATCGTAGCAGCAACCAGTCATAGCTAACCGTGGGAGGTCTTTAATGTAAGGGGGGGCTCCCTAATTTCTCGGCTGGCAGTGTAGCTTGGCCTTTCCCTCGTCCTTCCCGTCCTCATCATCACCATCAGGGAGCCTCATTCCCCCCTCGACCATGATCGGTGGCCGCCGCGAGGGAATAGTCATGTTTCTAGTATCGTTTGGGTCCTCAAGAATACGCTCGCGCAGAGGTTTCTATGTTTCCCAACCCTCCTTGGATGGGTATTCGTTTTGAATAGAGTAGTGCGGTCTCCAGTCCTCCTCCTCTTCCTCCTACTCCTCCTCCTCCCGCCTTCCGCGTACCTCGTGTGTGTGTATCGTGGCTGCGGCACATCTAGTGTGTGCATCTTGCCAAGGGGCTGCGATCGGTGACATTGTCACCCTTTTCGAAGGTTGTTGGTGGGTCCTGCGGAGTGAGGCACCGCGGGGACCTGAGCGAGACCTCGCCGTCCTGGGGGGGAGCTTGGATCTGCGACATTGTCGCCAATTTCGAGGGCTGTTGGTGGGTCCAGCGGAGCGAGGCACCGCGGGGACCTGAGCGAGACCTCGCCGTCCTTGGAGGGCTGCGATCTGCGACATTGTCGCCACTTTCGAGGGCTGCTGGTGGGTCCTGCGGAGTGAGGCACCGCGGGGACCTGAGCGAGACCTCGCCGTCCGTGGGGAGGTTGCGATCTGCGACGCTGTCGCCTTTTTCCGAGGGCTGCTGGTGGGTCCAGCGGCGCGAGGCACCGCGGGGACCTGCGCGAGACCTCGCCGTCCCTGGGGGGGCTGCCATCTGCGACGTTGTCGCCACTTTCGAGGGCTGTTGGTGGGTCCAGCGGAGTGTGGCGCCGCGGGGACCTGAACGAGACCTCGTCGTCCCCGGGAGGGTCTGTCATCTGCGACGCTGTTGCCATTTTCGAAGGTGGTTGGTGAGTCCAGTGGAGTGAGGCACCGCGGGGGCCTGAGCGAGACCTCGCCGTCCCCGGGGGGGGGCTGCGATCTGCGACATTGTCGCCACTGTCGAGGGCTGCTGGTGGGTCCAGCGGAGTGAGGCCCCGCGGGGACTTGAGCGAGACCTCGCCGTCTTGGGGGGGGGTTGCGATCTGCGACATTGTCGCCACTTTCGTGGGCTGCTGGTGGGTCCTGCGGAGTGAGGCACCGCAGGGACCTGAGTGAGACCTCGCCGTCATTGGGGGGCTGCGATCTGCGACGTTGTCGCCACTTTCGAGGGCTGCTGTTGGGTCCAGCGGAGTGAGGCGCCGCGAGGGCCTGCGCGAGACCTCGCCGTCCTGTGGGGGGGCTGCGATCTGCGACACCGTCGCCACTTTCGAGGGCTGCTGGTGGGCCCAGCGGAGTGAGGCACCGCGGGGACCTGAGCGAGACCTCGCCGTCCCTGGGGGGCTGCGATCTGCAACATTGTCGCCACTTTCGAGGGCTGTTGGTGGGCCCAGTGGAGTGAGGCACCGCGGAGACCTGAGCGAGACCTCGCCGTCCCTGGGGGGGCTGCGATCTGCGACATTGTCGCCACTTTCGATGGCTGCTGGTGGGTCCTGCGGAGTGAGGCACCGCAGGGACCTGAGCGAGACCTCGCCGTCCCTGGGGGGCTGCGATCTGCAACATTGTCGCCACTTTCGAGGGCTGCTGTTGGGTCCAGCGGAGTGAGGCGCCGCGAGGGCCTGCGCGAGACCTCGCCGTCTTGGGGGGGGGCTGCGATCTGCGACACCGTCGCCACTTTCGAGGGCTGCTGGTGGGCCCAGCGGAGTGGGGCACCGCGGGGACCTGAGCGAGACCTCGCCGTCCCTGGGGGGCTGCGATCTGCAACATTGTCGCCACTTTCGAGGGCTGCTGGTGGGTCCAGCGGAGTGAGGCACCGCGGAGACCTGAGCGAGACCTCGCCGTCCCTGGGGGGGCTGCGATCTGCGACGTTGTCGCCACTTTCGAGGGCTGCTGGTGGGTCCAGCGGAGTGAGGCCCCGCGGGGACTTGAGCGAGACCTCGCCGTCCCTGGGGGGGCTCTGGAGATCTGCTGTGGGATACGCTAGGCACAACGGGCGCATGGCACAGCCAACGGGGTTGATTTGTGAAACAGACCATCTGCCGGGCGATGGCCATAACGTTGCGCCTACACGTATCCCGCGGGTGCTCTGAGAGCTGCTGTGGGATACCTTGGGTGCAACGGACGCATGGCACAGCCAACGGGGGTGACTTGTTATTTCGTAGCCCTTATATCTTGATCGGGGGCTGCGAGCCTTCCGATTGCTGCTCGCAACATCACGTGCGTCCATGTTGCGTCGTCGCCCCCATTGCAGACACCCTGATGTACATATGCCCCGCATTGCGCAGGGGTTGGGTACGTCGCCAGGGCAATGTCCACCCTCTGGGTGGTCACTCAGACGGTGCGCCAAGGCAGCGCGCGATCTCACGAACCTTGGAAGGCGATAGGGGGTAACGGGGGGAGGAGCATGCGGTTGATGGTCAGCGGGAGGACCTCCGCTCTTCCCCCCCCCGCGGCCGGTGGGGGGGGCGGGGGCGGGCGGTGGCCCGGGTGTGTGGAGGGAGGGAGAAAGGGAAGAGGAGGGACAATGAGGAGGGGGGATGGAGGGAGGAAGGAGGCGGGGGGATGGAGAAGGAGGAGGAGGAGGAAGATGGAGGGAGGAGGAGATGGAGGAGGGAGGAGGAGAAGGGGGAGGTAGCCAAAGGGAAGGAGGGAGGGAGGGTGGAGGGAGGAAGGATGATGAGGAGGAGGGTGATGATGATGATGAGGAGGAGGAGGAGGAAGAGGAGGGAGGAGGCGCAGGAGACGGAGGAGGAGGAGGAGCAGGAGGAGGAGGAGGAGGAGGAGGAGGAGGACTAGGAGGAGGAGGAGGCGGGGGGAAGGAGGAGGAGGAGCAGCAGGAGGAGTGGGGAGGAGGAAGAGGAGGAGGAGGAAGAGGAGGAGGAGGAGCATGATTATGAGCAGGAGGAGGACGAGGAGGAGGAGAAGCATGAGCAGGAGGAGGAAGAGGAGGGAGGAGGAGGACGCGCACGAGGAGGAGAAGGAATTGTATGAGTGGGACTCCTACGTTTACTCACTCTATTAGCCTTGCGTGTTTTCGTTCTGACCCGCAGCCCTGATCTGTTGCCGCCCCTCTTGAGTCGGATCGCTACACCCTGAGTCGAGTCCCGAGTCCTGAGCCAGCCAGCACGCTGCGGGCACTGCACCGCCGCACTCGAGGTCCGCTCAGGGCCAGCAGCATGCAGGAGTGCCAGGGCGACGGGGAGGAGGACGAGGACGAGGAGGAGGACGAGCAGGAGGGGGAGGCCGACGATGGAGGAGGCCCATGGGTGGCGCGGGCAGACCAGCCAGCCCAAGTACGTCGGCCAGCAGGCCCCGTGGGGTGCCCGCCCGCCCGCCCCTCCCTGCCGCCTGCGGCGCGGCTCGGCCTGCCACGGGAAGCGAGACGCCGTGCGAAGCCGAGGGCGTTCTGGCGCTGGGCTGGGCGCTGTCCCGTCTTGGGCCGAAGACCGTTCCAGCGACGGAGGGCAGCAGGTGCGATGGCGCGGGCATTCGCGCGCAAGCTGTCCAGGCAGGGCCGTGCGCCGATCTAGCGTAAGCGTGAGTTCGTTCTGCTCCACGCGGTGTTGCCTGGCTGGGGGGCCGCGTAGGTCGCGGCGTCAGGTCGCAGTGCTGTCTCGACTTCGTACCCGTTTCGGCGCGCTCACGGGTGCCGCTTGCGGTAGCAAATCATTGGAGTTTTCGTGATTTCGAAATTACGTCTTTAGAATGCCGTAGCGTTGATAGGCGTCTGGTAATCGATGATCTAGCGCAAATTTAGCGTCGACGTAACATCGATTAGCGTCGATTAGCGTCGATTCGCAACGGCCAACTAGATGGTACGGGTGGCTCCCATGAGTTGCCACCGAAGGTGCCATCAGGCTCGATTGTCCCCTGGACGCCAGTAGCCTACGGGCCGACAGCGCCTCGATCCCTCGGCGGCCCTCCGTTCACTACTGATACACGCGCACACACACACTCGCGCACACACACACACACACACACACGCACACACACACACACGCACGCACACACACACACTCACACTCACACTCACACTCACACACACACAACACACACGCACACGCACACGCACACGCACACGCGCACGCACACGCACTCGCACTCGCACCCGCTCTCGCACACGCACACGCACACGCACACGCACACGCACACGCACACGCACACTCCCGCACACGCACACGCACGCCCACCCACACACACATACACACACACACACACGCACGCACGCACGCACGCACGCACAAGCGTAAGCACAAGCACAAGCACAAGCACATGCACAAGCACACGCACGCGCACACGCACACGCACGCACACGCACACGCACACGCACACGCACAAGCACGCGAACACGCAGACACACACACACACACACACACACACACACGCACGCACGCACGCACGCACGCACGCACGCACGCACGCACGCACGCACACACACACACACACACACACACACACACACACACGCACGCACGCACGCACGCACGCACGCACGCACGCACGCACGCACGCACGCACACACACACACACACGCACACACACGCACACACACACACGCACACTTCGGGCCATCGACGGGCTCTGAGGTTCCGCGCTTGCGAGCTCTCGGCTGCTTGCGATCAGTATCGTTTCGCCGATGCAAATCCCCATCCTCACTATCCCACCATCCCAGCTGGGGGTATGGCCATCTAGGGGGGTAGATCGGCCAATGGGGCCTAGGCAACGCTGATGGGGATAGAGGCGACGGGCGGGACAGGCGGGCGCGCGAGAGGGAGAAGAGACGGTGCGAGGGAGGCGCCGCCGCCGCCGACCGACGACGACGACCGCGGTCGTCGTCGTCGATCGCCGTCGGTCGTCGTTCGTCGACCGTCGATGGTTATCGCCGATCGTCCACTGACGATCGGCGGCCGACGATCCACGATCGACGACTGACGGTGATCGACGACGACGACGACGATCGTCCCGCCCCCCCCCCCAGCAAGCCCACGCCACCGGACCCCCCCCCCCCCTTCCCCCGCGCCGCCAGAACCGAAGCCGCCGGACCCCCCCCCCTTCCCACGCCACCAGAAATCACGTCACCGGAACCCTCCCCCCCCCTCCTCCTCGGCAAACCATGCATTCTGAGGCGGTTCCAAAGGAAATCCATTGGTTTTCAAAGCAAACCTACGCCAACAGAACCCCCCCACACGCCACTAGAACCCACGCCGCCGGACCCCCCCCCTCCTTTCCCGCGCCACCAGAACCCGCCGCCACCGGATCCCCCCCCCCCTCCCCTCCCCGGCAATGCCACCCCGGTCACCCCCGCCCCCTTAAACGCACGCGCCGGATCGGCGGATTAATGCACCGCCGCCTGCCGTCGTGCATCGGGGCGGAGAGGGGCCGCTGCATCGCGACCGTGTGTTTTTGAAGGAACCTTTCTGGGAAAGCTTCATCGGCTTCTCGTCGTTGTTGGTAGCCACGACGTAGTATTGCAAATTATCTTCGAGAGCGGTACTTGCCAAACATGTCTCCACTACGATTTTCTGGTCCGACTCGGAGGCGGCGATGGCTTTGGCCAGGGCCATCACATGCTCGGTGACCGTGCACCTCGCTGGGGCAACGCCTACAGCATCCTGGGTCGAGGCCTGTGACGTCGTCTTGCCAGCCAGATCGATCGAGGCGTGAATCCACATGCGGTTGAGCTTCGCGGGCAGGACGTCGTCGGTTGCGTTCTGAAGCTCTACCGTGAGCGCTGCCGTGCGAACGTACGGGAGCAAAGGCCCATTCGTTTCGTGCCCAGCTGGTCCTCTGCCAGTGCCCTCGAAGACGTGCTTGGGCACCACTGGCAACTTCGCCTTTCGGGCCGGACGAAAGGGGTGGATTGGGAAAGGGGGGGTTACGAAATTTGCTGCATGCAGCTGGTTTCGGCCTCACCGAGGGGCCCATTCCCCGATACATGGCCGCCTCCCGGCGCCTCCCGGCGCCGGGAGGCGCCGGGAAAATCAGCTACGTGAGCTGATTCTCAAACCCCCCCTTTGCTATCCCCCCCTTTCGCCCGACCCGAATGGCGTCGGTTCGGCCAGCGAGGTCGGTCGCAGCAATTTCCCGACGGCCCGCCCTGCGGAGCGGACGTGGCCCGCCGCCCGCGGCGCCCGCGGGGCCGCGGGGGGGCCAGGGGGGGCCCCTCCCGCGATTTCGGCGAGCACGTCGCCCCAGCAATCCACCATCGCGGCGATTCTCGGGGGCGGAAAAGAGGGGGGTGATGACTAGGGGGGGTGGATATCATGGCGGGGAGCATGATATTTCCCCAGATTTTATGGCGCCTCTTCTTATTTCATTACGTCCCTGGCCCCCCCGCTGGGCCGCGCACATGCCGCCGGTCATGATTTGCACCCCCCCCTCTTGGACACCCCCCTCTTGGCCGCTCCCGACTTTCCCAAGGAGCAATCGGGCAAGATGTGCCGGATCGCGGCCGACGAGCCACGCGTGTTTGAGCCAAAACGGCGACGCGTGGCGATGGTATTGGCGATGATGTTGCCTTTGGCAATTTGGGGGGGGCGCCGTCCTGAATCCCCGGCGGGGGGGGAAGGGATGCTTGCACCCCTTATCGCCGCCCCTCCTTGCTGTCACGCGCCCTCCCCAGTCCATCCCCGCCCAGTCCCCTTGCACATATTTGACCCTCTTCGTCGCCCATTAACAGGGTTTGAAAAAATTATCCCGGCAAAGCAACCTAACAGCGATGTGTAGAAGCATATATGGAAGCATTCCCCTTAAGATTCAGATGATAATCCAGTTGTAGAGTTCTGCTGTTCTCGCAGTCGCAGTCGCATTCGCGATGACAGTCGCAGTGGCAGCGGCAGTCGCAGTCACAGCCTCAGCCTGCCTCAGTATCCGCCTGCCTCAGCCTCAGCCTCAGCCTGCCTCAGCCTCAGCCTCAGCCTGCTTCAGCCTCAGCCTCAGTCTGCCTTCAGCCTCAGCCTCTGTGCCTCAGCCTGCCTCAGCCTCAGCCTGCCTCAGTATCAGCCTGCTTCAGCCTCAGCCTCAGCCTGCCTCAGCCTCAGCCTCAGCCTGCAGCCTCAGCCTCAGCCTGCCTTCAGCCTCGGCCTCAGCCTCAGCCTGCCTCAGCCTGCCTCAGCATCAGCCTGCCTCAGCCTCAGCCTGCCTCAGCCTCAGCCTGCATCAGCCTCAGCCTCAGCCTCAGCCTCAGCCTCAGCCTCAGCCTGCCTTCAGCCTGCCTCAGCCTGAGCCTCAGCCTGCCTCAGCCTCAGCCTCCTCAGCCTCAGCCTCAGCCTTCAGCCTCAGCCTCAGTCTGCCTTCAGCCTCAGCCTCTGTGCCTCAGCCTGCCTCAGCATCAGCCTGCATCAGCCCCAGCCTCAGCCTCAGCCTCAGCCTGCCTCAGCATCAGCCTGCCTCAGCGTCTGCCTCAGCCTCAGCCTCAGCCTCTGCCTCAGCCTCAGCCTCAGCCTCAGCCTCAGCCTCAGTCTGCCTTCAGCCTCAGCCTCAGCCTCAGCCTGCCTCAGCCTCAGCCTGCCTCAGCCTCAGCCTCAGCCTGCCTCAGCATCAGCCTGCCTCAGCCTCAGCCTCAGCCTGCCTCAGCCTCAGCCTCAGCCTGCCTTCAGCCTCAGCCTCAGCCTGCCTCAGCCTCGGCCTCAGCCTCAGCCTGCCTCAGCCTCAGCCTGCAGCCTCAGCCTCAGCCTCAGCCTCCTCAGCATCAGCCTGCCTCAGCCTCAGCCTCAGCCTCAGCCTCAGCCTCAGCCTCAGCATCAGCAGCCTCAGCCTCAGCCTCACAGCCTCAGCCATCAGCATCAGCATCACCATCTCAGCCTGTGCCTCAGCATCAAAATGTGGCCCGGGAATGGAGTTCTGGGAAGTCGAAGAGCACGATGTGGCCTGGAGTTCTGGGAACTTGAAGAACACGAAGTGGCCTACAGTTGGCTCCGGGCATTCAAAATGTGGCCCGGGAATGGAGTTCTGGGAAGCCGAAGAGCACGAAGTGGCCTACAGTTGGCTCCGGGCATCTCAAAATGTTGCCCGGGAATTGAGTTCTGGGAAATCGAAGAGCACGAAGTGGCCTACAGTTGGCTCCGGGCATCCAACATGTACGCCGGGAATGGAGTTTTGGGAAGTCGAAGAGCACGAAGTGGCCTACAGTTGGCTCCGGGCATTCAAAATGTGGCCCGGGAATGGAGTTCTGGGAAGTCGAAGAGCACGAAGTGGCCTACAGTTGGTTCCAGGCATTCAGAATGTGGCCCGGGAATGGAGTTCTGGGAGGTCGAAGAGCACGAAGTGTGTGACTGTTTGCGAAAAACGCATTCGGACACGAGTTCGGACACAGCTCCCCGGGTCCCGCCCCGACCCCCCTGTGGAGTCATTTGCTGCTTTCTTTTGACACCATTAGAAACCTATCAGCAAAAGCTGTTAGGTAAAAGCGCTCCCACCCTGGTTTACGAGGCGCTGTGCGCTGAACCTCCTGTGGGTTGACAATGCAAGCGCTGCCTGTCGTGCGGCGTCCTGGCGGCTCTCTGGCCTTTGGGAGCTAGCTCCCAGGAGGTTTACAAACCACGCGCCTGTAACCCAGGGTAGGGGCGTTGTTGCATCCCTCAACATTACTCCCTTAGCAAAACAGAGCAACGCGAGAGTCGCGTCTGTGCGCGTCCTGTCCGAGGGGCGCGTGGGGGGGGCCTGAAGGGCTCCGGTGGAACCAGACGGGACCTCGCGTCGATTTTGCGGGGAAGGAGCTAGCCCTCGCCTAAGTAGGCATCGCGCCTGACGCGCGCTCGGGCGTTTGGGAAAAAAGGTGGGTTGCGGAGCCGCGGCAGATCCAGCAAAACGGTATAAATATTGTTTAGTTTTTGCGCATTCGAAATGCTACGAGGGAGTATGGTGTCTGATGTGTTTTGGATTGTTCTAGGAGTGCGTCGAAAACGTTGCAAACGACTGCTTGGAGACTACCGATGGGAGTTGTTAGAAAGTTGTCATCTTCCCTGCCATCTTCCCTGCTGTAGAAGGTCATGCGGATCATAAGTTGAACGATGGGCCTACCGCAGAAGCAACTACGGCGCGGGCGTTTGGATGACTTCTGGCGCCAAACTGCAGTGCGTAGCTTTCGATGAGATCATGCGGGCGGCCTCCGCGTGGTCCATCAGGGAAGGCGGCCGCGCGATCGCGCTCAATCCGCCTGGCTATTGCTAGCGGTTGAAAAAATAAGTCCGCCGCCTCGGCGGCGGCTGCATTGGCGGCGGCTGCAGCCGCGGCCGGGAGATGGAACTGCAGTTCCACGCAGGGAGGGACTGCAGCTCCAGCTGCGGCCCCTCCTTCCTATGTGCATCCCGTTCCCTCCTCCCTCGTCAGTCCATCATCATGTAGATCATGGCATTCATTGGCGTGCTTGCAACTACTTGAATTTAAGCTTGCCTGATTTATCCTACTATATCATACTTTGGCGTGGCATTTAATTCCAGTTGGCATGATCGAACTTACCGTAGCACCCCGCATGTGCGGATAAGAGTGAGGGGATGGTTGGGACGTCGGCAGCTTGCTAGACTCTGGGGAAGCCCGCTGCAGGCGTCAAAGTTTTACAACTTATACAACGAGCCCGCCGCAGGCGCCGATTTTTTGTTAAATAAATAAAGGGGGGTCGCGGGTGGGTCGCGGGTGGGTTGCTGTTGGTTCGCGGGGTGGGTCGCGGGTGTAGAAGGCAGGAAATCCATCCCATAATAATCACCCGGGCAAACGAAGCCTTTTTAGTAAACGCGCACCAGGAATGAATCGAACAGGGCAGGGCTGTTTAACAAACGCCCAGGGCCGTTTAGTAAACGTCAATTGTCGGGCCCGGGTGGGTTGTCCTCCTTTGAGGGTGGGTCGCGGGGTGGGTCGCGGGCGGGTCGCGAAGTCGGTCGCGGGTGGGTCGCCGATGGGGCGGGTGGGTCGCGGGTGGGTCGCGGGGTGGGTCGCGGTAGGGTCGCGGGTTGGGTCGCGGGTGGGTCGCGGGGTGGGTCGCGGGGTGGGTCGCAGGGTGGGTCGTGGGGTGGGTGGCGGGGTGGCTCGCGGGTGGGTCGCGGGTGGGACGATAACAACAACAACATCATCAACATCAATAACGCAACAAACAAAATTACCACCACCAATTCCCTATTCAGCCACGCGCCCAGTGACAACGAATGACCGTTCGGCCCCCTCACTTTGACGATATCACAATCTAACACGCATTGCTATAGCTTAGCACGTCTGATATACTTTACCGGAACAGCAACACTGTTAGTTGCCAGTAGCGCTCTTACCCGAATTCTAATACATGCTGAAGTACGCGAAGGGATTTCCCAGCGTAGCTAAACCATGTTAAACTATGATGTTGCCTCAATCATTTGCGTTTCAATTCTAACTTGTATTTAGCTAACACCCAGCTCGAGCAAGTATGAGGACGTGCCCGACCTAAGCTTGTGCCTTTGTTCGTTCGTCTGGTCCTGCTTGTGCTCGCCACGCTCCTGCGCAGCGGAACTCATCGAAACACACCGGGGGCGCGCGAGAGACGCGCGGTCGCCGCCAGAGGGGGAAAAGGATGAGGAAAAGGAAGGGGAGGAGGAGGAGAGGGAAGCGGAGGAGGAGGAGGATGATGAGGAGGAGGAGGAAGATGAGGAGGAGGAGGAGGAGGAGGAGGAGGAGGAGGAGAAGGAGGGGAGAAGCGTCGGGATTGCTCCGGAGCTGCTCGTGCACAGTCTAGGCGGGCGAGATATTTGCCCGCGTTGACTGTGCACGAGCATCCCTTGGGCTCGCCGCCGATACTTGCCCGCCGCGGGACCCGCCTCTGGCCAGGGCGTGCGTTGTCCAGGCGGTCCCTGACATGTCGGTCGGGGATCCGATTTGTAGCCGAGGCTGGCAGCGACCAGAAGAGCCGTTGCTTTCCTTGTTCGGCGTTCTTTCTGGCAGCACGAGGCCTTGCGCCCAAGGAGGGCGAAGATTGAAGACGAGAGCGGGGAGGGCAAAGGAGGAGAGACCCGGGAAAGAGGAGCACGAGGCGGAGGAGGACCAGGAGGAGGAGGAATAGGAAGCAGAAGGGAATGAGGAGAAGGAACAGAGGGAGGGACGAGAGAGGATGGACAAGGAAGGAGGAAAGAGGGATGATGTGGAGGATGGGGTGGACAGCGAAGGATGGGACGAGAAGGGAGGGACGAGGGATGGTGGACGCGGTAGGAGGGAAGAGGGAGGACGTGGGGGACGTGGAGGTGTAGGTCGAAGGGGGTAGGAGACAGGGAAGACGGGGGAGGATGGGCACGAGGAAGAGGCGGGGGAGGAGGGGGAGGAAGACGACGACGACGATGAAGACGAGGAGGGGAGGGGCAGGCGCTTGGGAGGGGGCGGGGGACGTGGTAGGAGCGGTGCTGATCTCTCCCCCCCGCGGCTGGGTCATCCGTTGCCCGCCGCGGGCGGAAGGGTGGCGTCCGACGGCGGCCGCTGCGAGGCCAACGAGTTGTCCAAGTGGATGAACGCAGACAGCATCACGCGCCACAAAGAGGACCTCTGCCCTCAGTGCCGAAGTGCCCGAGAAACGAGGAGGAGGAGGAGGAGGAGGAGGAGGAGGGCGAAGTGCGGGTATGCGCACTCGAGGAGGACGCAGGAACTGGGAGGAAAAGGGAGGAGGAAACGGATTGGACGAGAGGGCGAGGGAGGAGGGCGAGGAGGCAGGGGGGGGGGGGGGGAACGCGGAGCGAGGACGGCGGGGAGGAACGGGCAGGGGGAGGGGAGCACGAGGGGGCGCACGGGAGGACACGCGTGCCGCAGCTGTGCGTGTCAGGCGGCACGTGCCGCGCTGTCTGTGCCTGCGCTGGACCCCCCCCCGGCTGCGGGCCGCGCCTCCCGCGGCCCCCCCCCCCCCCGGGGGCGCGTCCGGGCGCCCGGGGGGAGGGGGAGGGGGGGGTCGCAGCTCCCACCCAGGATCGTCTAGGCCTCCCAGATGGGGTCGGAGTACGGTAGGTTCGCGTCGTGTCGACCGGCGGCGACCCCGCCGCCGACGTTCAACGTGGAACGCCGACGGCGGCCCAGAATCGGTCGATGTTGAACGATCGGACGTTGCGGAGACGGCCTATCGTTCAAGGTTGAACGATCCAGCGCGGTGTCAGGAACCAACGCCAGGGTCGACACGGCACGGACCTGCAGTAGGTGGAGTCGGAGGATCGCGCCGCATCGCCGATGCATCGGCGATGCATCGGCGATGCGGCTCGATGTGGGGCCCGTCTTTCACCACGCCAACGTCGCCGGTGCATCGCTGACGTCGCCAGTGCATGGCCGATGCATCGCCGATGCATCAGCGATGCATCGTCGATGCATCGGCGATACGGTGAGATGCTCCGACCCCATCTACTCGGACCCCATCCTGGAGGCCTCTAGGAGCGTCTCATGTGTGGCATGTCCCTCTACGGGAGGAGGATTCGAACACAGCAGCAAAAACAGTTCGGGGAGGGACGATGTTTCGACCGCGTTGGACTGTGTTTGAATGTGCTTTGACTACGGTTCGTTTTCTTCCAAGATCTTCATGTCGGGGGACACGCCCGACCTCAGGAACGCCCCTGCGAGCCTCCGAGGTGCCGTGCGGAGATGGCTGTGCGGCGCCCCTCGTGGGGGGAGCGTCGGAGGGCCCCAACACAGAAAGTCCTTGCGGCCTGGGTGGATACTCCGTCGAATGTTTGGCTGGCATGTGGACGACACCCCTTGACGAAAGGGCGAATCATCGAAGAATGAAAAGCACCATAAGCTGCCACAGGCATGAACTGTTGGCGCTCCGCGCGGGTCTCTTGGATCCGCGCTGGGCCCCCCTGGGCGGCGCCTCCCGCGCCGCCCCTGGCGCGCGGAGCGCGCCAGCCGCGCCAGGGAGGGGGGGCCAGCGCAGATCCAAGAAATCCGCGCGGAGCTCCAGCAGCTTATGTGAATGGCGCCTCGCGTTCTGTAGAAGAAGGGGTGGTCGGAATCTGGGCGAAGCCCAGTTGAGATCACGCTTTTAAAACGACAAGTGCTGCGGAGGTCCGCACAGAGGGCCCCACGAAGGCCCACCCGGCCGCAGGGGGATGCAGAGGACCAGGCGCTCCGAGGCCGGCCCAGGTCGGGCAGGGTCAGGACGCGAGGGCGGAGAAGTCCGTCCCCGAGGGCTCGCGGACGCTCTCGGAGCATGGCTCCGAGGAGGCCGCGGCGCCCAAGACATCCCTCGGGCTGGACGAAAGGGGGGGATTGGGAAAGGGGGGGTTACGAAATTTGCTGCAGGCAGCCGGTTTCGGCCCCACCGAGGGGCCCATTCCTCGATACATTGCCGCCTCCGGCGCCGGGAAAATCAGCTACGTGAGCTGATTCTCAAACCCCGCCTTTGCTATCCCCCCCTTTCGCCCGACCCGAATCCTCCGGAGCCGCGGGATCTCACAGATGGTGGATTTAGCCTCACCCGATGTTATCCTCGTCCTGGCTTCGTTTCAAAGACGCAGCCGACCTCCAGAGTAAGGACGGGCAACAATCAGGAGGATACCATTGCATCCTTGCCACCTCGGCCCATCCTTGGCCACCTTGGCTGGCCGCACTCCGCTCGAAAAGCTTCGAAATGGCCTTCCAAGGCCCTTGCATCCTTATCGTGCGTCCTTGTTTTGTACGGGTTGGCTGTACACGACGGCCGTTGAAAGTAGGTATTCTTGGACTCCCAGGTCCCAATCTACTTTATAGGCGCCTTCATAGTTCGAGAGTCGAGCAGTGTTCCTTCTTCCCTTCGCTTCAGGGGGCGGGCGGAAGCCCAACCTACGGCCGCCCAAGGATGTTGCGTCCTCACAGCGCGTCCTTACCATTGCTGCAGATTTTAGCTGGAGGGCCGCGGAGGTCCGCAGAGGCTTCCGTGCAGGCCCACCTCTTCCGTAGACGCGCTCACGGCAATGTAGGCAACGGCGATGGAGGTTTCGGCATTGTGGGTGAGAGTGGTTCGTGGCCAAACCAGTCGGAGGACATCAGGATTCGTGCTTTCCTATAACTCGCTGCGTCGTTTTCGCTCGATACAGTCGCACATTTGAGATGTAGGAGAGTGTGGTTCGTGATTTCCTGTAATTCGTTCTGCGCGAGCTCGGTGTCAGAAACATCGGATTCCCAACGCCGCCGTTCACCAGCATCGCCGTTAGCGCGGCCTTGGCCCTTCGCAGGGAGGTGCCTGGGCCCCGGGCGGTCCCCAGGCTCGGCCCGGGGCCTCGGAGAGCTGCGCCTCCACCCTGCAGAGGGAGGAGGGGGAGGAGGAGATGTTTCGGGAGGGGGAAAAACACACAGACACAGCTCATCGTCGATGCTCAGGAAGACATGGGGAAATATGGGAAGGGGAGGGGGGGGGGGAAGACGAAAGTCAAGAAATTATGCGGAAATCTGAGGGATCCTGGGGCCGGTGTGTATTGTAGTGGCCTCTGGCCGGTGCTGCTGATCCAGGGCGTCCTCGGCGCCGTGGCAGACTTCGGCGACCTGGGACGCAAGTCTATAGAGTGTTTTTAATACATGCTCGCGTGCGGATCATGAACTAAAAATGCAGGGCTTTGTACTAAAAACAACGATGAGTTCATGCATGAGTTTATCCATACATCAATCATGCATTTTAAAAGTCCAATCGTTTGAAACATCCCATGTATTAAAAGCTGCCCTGTACATTTACCTTGGGCCCCTTGGAAAAGGAGGAGGAGGAGGAGGAGGAGGAGGAGGAGGAGGAGGGAGGGAGGGAGGGAGGGAGGGAGAGAGAGAGGGAGGGAAGGAGGAGGGAAGGAGGAGGAGGAGGAGGAGGAGGAGGAGGAGGAGGAGATTAGGGGAACGAGCAATGACATAAACATAAATCCTCGGAGGTCCGCGCGGAGTTCTCGGGTCGGCGCCGGACCCCCCTGGCGGCACATTCGGCGCCGCCCCTGGCGCGCTCCGCGCGCCAGGAGGTGGGGTCCATCTCCGAACCGAGAAACCCGCGCGGACCTCCGAGTTTTGGTGTTCATGTCATTTGTCGTTCCCCTAATCAAGGACGTCGGCTTCGGCACCGCCTGATTCCGAGGCTTTGCCTCCTCCAGGCCTCGTTCTGAGGCTGCGCCCCCCTCTTCCCCCCCCATCTCTGATTAAGTCAAGCTTCGCGCGGCCCGCTTAGCTTCGACCGGAAGAGGTACGCTCTCGACCCGCGGATCAAACAAATTATCGTTCCCATAATTTAGGTGCGGCCACGTCATACCTGACATCCTGCCCCTCCCACCCGTCCCTTTCCAGTGTGCTGTTGTGTCTTGTGTCCGCCCGCAGATATCAGATCGGACATGGGAGGGGACGCCAGTGAGGGAGGAGGAAAAACAAGGGAACATGATGAGGAAAGAGCAGGGAACTGATGAGGAGGAAGTGGAGGAGGAGGAGGAGGAGGCGGAGGAGGAGGAGGAGGAGGAGAGGTCTGAGTGTATCCACGGTGCATCAACCGTGCCAGAACACACGCTCCCGTCCCAGGTCCTCTCTTGAGGTGCTTCAGAGCTTCTCTAATCACTCTCTCTTGCGCTAGACATTTCAAGACTCAGTGGCAGGTGTCACGTAAGTGTCAAGCGACAGGCCCCTTTTGAAAAGGAATCGCATACCAACGTGAAACTGCTATCTCACACGAAAGCTCCATTTTGCCGGGGCCGTCCTCAATCCGCGTTACCGTAGCACCCCGCAGGTGCGGATAAGACTGAGGGGGCGGTGGGGACGTCGACAGTTGACGAGACTCTGGAGAAGCCCGCCGCAGGCGCCGATTTTTTTTGTTAAACCAATGTGGGTAGGTTGCGGGTGGGTCGCACATGGGTCGCGGGTGGGTTCTTGTTGGGTCGCGGGGTGGGTCGCGGGTGTAGATGGCAGATAGTCCATCCCATAATTATCGCCCCGGCAAGCGAAGCCGTTTAGTAAACGTACACAAAGAATGACTCGAACAGGGCAGGGCTGTTTAACAGACGCACAGGGCCGTTTAAACGATGGAAACCACCGCCCCCGCAAGTTCACATACAACATCCAGGATGGGCGAAATTTCGCATTTGTGGGGCAGCGTTTCCCACTTGCGCTCATGGCCCATTTGGCACTGCGCGCAGCTCAAGCACTTACGTGCGCCAGTGCTTCAAAACTTCCCCTGGCAATGCACCCTGAAAGCAGCAAAAAGGTGACATGAGAGTTGGAGTCCACTGCCCCTCTGTTATGAGGCCGTTGTATAGGAGAGGGAACAGAGGACAGAGTGTTTACACAGTTTTGAGGAATTCGTGAATTCAGCATGGGTCCGGCTTGAAGTGCCTCGAAGAAAGCGCGCACCCGAATCGCAGACATATGGTTATATGCGGACCTGGGACACTTTGCTTCCCGTCGTCGTCCTCGCACTTTCTCCGTTCCCCTTCCTGTCTTCCCTCCCCTGGATGGTGTCGAAAGCGTCCGCGGCTCGGGCGGGGGAGCGCCCCTTCCCACCTCCCTTATTAGTCCTCGTTCCTCTTTGCCTCCCTGCTCCACCGTCCGTCGTCCTACCTCGTCCACCCTCCTTGTT